TGTAAACTTCCAATTACCTTATCGCATAAGCGCTGTTTGGTCTGCATCATGTTTACAACGGAGTTGTGGGGGGTTTGATTGATATAATTAGAAAATTTTCTCGGTCGCGTCGGTCAGTGTTGTCGCCCCTACCTAGGTGATCTTAGCGATAAACTGGTAACAGTTGACTTTCTGTTTCGAGCCTCACAAGGATCAGATGGAATGTGCAAAACTATCGTTACCCGAAAGGATGAAACGACTGTACGGTGCTTTTCTGGGTACGTGCTGATGGTTTAACTGGGTCAAGACGTGATGAAGTTATATTTGCATAAGACCATTCCCCTTACTACTACTTTGTAGTCCTAGTTTCTTTGTGCCATTATATTTAGAATTTGTGGCGATATCGCAGTAACCACGGGATCAAGTCGGGAAACATGAAATGTCGACTAAGTAAAAAAGTTACTTATGAAAACTCTTCCTTAAACGAATGCACGTGAAAATAACTTTGTCACACCACGTACGCGATGAGTTGTTTTCATTAGGTACGCTGATGCTGGTTTTATTATTTCTTATTCACCGATAGATGCTAGCAGTCATCACTTTTAAACCAAGGTGTGGAACTTATCTTTTAGTATCCTGGATGAATTTCCGACTCCAATGGTTGCACAGAGGTGAGCCAGTCGAAAGCAGTTGGGTGTATACTCATTCTCAGCAAATAGTGTCTTTAAGCGTTACACATGACATTGCAACAGCATGCCTGGGGGAGCGTGGACAGATGCGGGAAAGCCAACTGCGGAGGAAGGACCCAGTCACCTGCGCTCGTGCGTTGTAGTACAGACTGCTTCAAATTACAGCATTTCAACAGGAGTGCTGCTACCTAGCTAGCCGGTGTGTCGCATTGGTGTGCATTTAAGGAAGTGGTTCGTTGTATGGTTATTGACCACGAAACCCCTAAGACCGAACCTGAATCTGATTAAAGTTAATACTGCGTGTTACTCAGACGGTACTGGTTGCAGCAACCGTTTAGCCGGTTCGTAAGTGATTGACTTCGCAATCCCACAAAAAGCAGGTACATTTATTTTGTCATGCTCATCGTTGGAACCCACTGAAATAATGATTCCTTCCGCGTTTCACGTTTCCCAGGAAACCTGGAAACAACGCCTTTTGAAGATGACACACCAATGTCGCGTAAAGCACGTGTGCTTTATGCTATAACCTAGACACGAAAACAATTTCTTCAGCATTTGGCGCGTCTTGGAGTACCAACCGAGCGTCTGCGTTGCGACACACAATTTACCTTTGGACCGCTGTTCATGTTGAAGTGCATCTGCGCCGCCACAGCAGTTGGACCGCTTCTAAATGGTGAGGTTCGGTGCTGCCCGTTGTCTACCAACAGAACTTGATTGGGTTTGTAGTTTAAAATTTTCAAGTGTAAACACTGGTACCTCAGAGTGGAACCCCTGACGTGGTGCTTAGACGGCTGCCGCAGCAGGGATCGTTTGTCGCGATGGTTACCGCAAAGTTCAAAAATAAACAATCGACTTGGATATATTTGGGTGTTGCTCTTCCCAACACTGACACATCATGACCGCGGTTTCGTCGTAGTTTAGACTCGTCAGGTGGAGATAACCTGAGCTGGGGTGGAACTCAGAGCTTAGTAGCTCATGGCTGACACCCTGAACACTATGCTACTCAGATCTGCGAGCAACGCTTGGCACAGCGGAAAGTAATTACTCCCTAAATTCAACTTAAACAATCGACTTATCAACCATTACTAACGGAGCCCATTAGTTCGTTGCTCAAGATGTCTACTCTCAACCGCTACTTTCGTCCTCCACTCCCAGATGCGGATAGCCCCAAACAAAGACTTAGTCGTGATCTGCGTTGTTGGGAACGCGCAAAACAGTAACCCTGAATCTACCCACCAACAAGAGTAATGCATCCACTGAGATTTACCATTTTATTGCTGTCCAGACAGAATACCATCTCCAGTTTCTAAATCCAGTCAACTCCATGCTCATGCTTACATTTGTCTGCCGACATATGTTGTTTAAGCGTAATCCAAACACAGTGAATTAGCGTTCACAGAACAAGCTATGACTTTAAGGGATTTGTATGTGCGTCAACGAATTATCAAGCTCGACCTGTGAGATACGCTAGATTGACTGGGTCAATCACCTTAAGAGCGTTTGCACTTACTTTGCATACACTTCAAAAACTGTTCACTGGTTGAAGTATGGGTTGTGATGGAGGACCCTGCCACTTCGCTCCCCTTTTAGAAATCATGTATCCCACTATGGAAATTGAAATCGAGATAGCTATCTACCTTACAACTGGAATGCAGCGTGTCTTTACCGTTGCTCTAAGAACGAGGCATCAGAATGGATGCTGCCTTCATGAACTACCAATCCACAACCTTTAACTTCCTTTTATGAGAGCAATTTGCTATCAAAGGTTTCCCCATGACGCAGCGCATGGAGTGTTGCGTGGAGGCCAAAGATTCCATGCGGTTACCTTACCAAGACTGTTGTCTGCGAACAATAAAAATCTGTTTGATTCAAATCGAGACGGAGGATAAAAACGAACTCGCTTTTCCGCATGACTCAACGAACAAGAGCATTTTAAACGGCCAACTCGAAAATTCCAATGGTATCCCACTCAGAACCCCTAGTCAAATTGACAACTAGCGTAACAGCTTTGCGTTGCCGATGAACTTCGAAAAGTTACTGGTCGTGTGCTGAAAAAAGAACAGTGCAGTTGTTTGGTCACCGCTTACTCCCACACAAGTGATGGTATCGGCCAAGGCTTTGTTCGATTCACTCAGTTGCATAAGATTGTAGCAAGGTTAGAGGAACTTCAATCAGCGATACGCCACGATAGATTGAAAAATGTCGACAATTTCCTATTACCTCGTCTTTTTACAATTCCAAAGGCTCCCGTTCAGCAACTACTGTGTAGCGCACCGAGTGATATTTACACCATTATAAAATAAAGCAGCGGAGACAGCCGACGTCGCCTTCATTAGTGTGATATGCACTGAAGGTTTAGCTGATTAAGCTGCTTCCATTATGCTGGCAAATAGCCTAAGAGATATTAGCCTCCAAATTTCATTCTGTCACACAGTACTGGTTTGCAAAACTACAATAACATAATCACATTGCTCGTGGCTGTAATATTGCGACAGCAATGCTATTTTAACTGTCAGTAAGAATGGTGAGGCAACAACAGCGCAGATGTGGGTGGTGTAGGTCACATCTTGCTCCATTGAGAAAATGAAAAAACAGTCCAGTTGCATGCGACTACAGGATTGCCTTATCGCTATCAGGGTTTATTAGCTTGAGCACTTTTTGCTTATCCCTTGCATTATATCATCAGCCCTACGAATTCCCCGAACTGCTGTCGCTGAAAAAATGAAGTCACCGTTTTCTCATTCGGAGTTTTAAGATGTTTGCCCGGGAAATATTTTGCAGCTTGAACACTGACGCATGCGCTGTTGAGACATGGAAGACAAATCTGAAACCATTCTCAAATTCGGCATGCTCGGATGTTCCGTCGCTTGTTGCTTCAGCATTTACTTCAGTTGCATATCGTCAGATTATGCTGACAGAAGTCCCAATTACATGCAAGCACAGATATTAGTTCTCAGGAGAGCCACAGCATGTAGAAGCAAAATGGCGTTTTCGTTGGAGATGCCTGGAATATAACGAACGCATGTACCGTGGGCTCTATGACGCCTGATCACAGTAGTAAGGTTTATCATTCGCTCATTAAGGTTAGTTTTACTCCATACTGAAGCCGATTTCCCCACTTGTTTTGATACAGAACAAGGACTCAGTGATTACTGGGCCTTTCTTGGGTAAGCCTGAACACAGCAATCGGTTTTTCTTGGGATTTTAAAGATAATGGTAATGCAGTTTCCATATCTACACACAGATTGTAAAAAGTACTTCTCATGAGAAAACATTTCAAACGCATCTGGACAAACCTATTCCACTTTCTTACTAAGTGTTTAGCAGCCATTTTCTCCCTTCATTGATAATGCGGCAGTGGAATTAGAATAAGCAACGCAATAAACGTGACAATTTAACTGACCAACCATTTCTCTCAGGACAGTAGGTGGAGACGCGACGATGCCCCGTTGCGCTGCTAACGCGTTTACACGAAAGACCCCGCTGAGATTGTCCCACATGGACACATGTTCAAGAAAGAGTTCCTTCATGGTGGATAATTTAGGCCAAAGCTGGGGGCAAAAGATCACATTTCCGCTCTACAGCACCGGGACTTGCAATTAAGACCGGATGATAGATGACGCGGAAGCAGGAACTGCCTTGTACTTATGGAGAAGCTGCAACTATGCACGGATTCTTCAATGAAATGTATCTCATAGATCCCCGGATTTTAGTTAAAAAAGACAAGCAATCTGTGGGCGCCACACTAGATAGCAGATTAATGAATGCCTTAAAATAACGGCGTGCAGTTAGTTAAGCGCATTTGTTTGCCACGAGTACCAGGTAGAGATGGTAGAGTAGGTTTTCACATTTTCCGAAGCGCCATCGGTTAATACTGGACCATTATGTTATTATAAACTACTTTAGCTAAACTTCGAGAAGCGACCATAACTATTAAACACTTAAAAGTAGTCCGGAAACCCCAGTAGCATATCATTTGTCAACTTATCATTTTTGCTCTGTCACTGCAACCCATATGTACCTATTTCTTTTCGGTCCGAATTAAACAAAACACTAGGGACAAAAATCAATTACTGCCTTCAGCAATTGATGAACGTTCATACGACCTGTACCATACTAGAGCAAATTCAGATATTTATGGACAGGAAGTTAGATATCACACTCCCGACATATCATGTTTTTAGCATATGTAAGCTTCACACACCATGTTTGGAAATGCAGGCCCCTTACTTGTTTTCTTATGTTCTTTTATGCGTATTTTAAGTGGATGTATACAAAAGGTGAGGCCAGAAACATTAGCGAGAAGATATTAGTAATGGACATGTTCTAATTGTATAACTCTTGTTCGTTTTTAGCCCGTAACTGACATGCTCCAGTACATAGTATAGTATAAATGCAACCATTACGAACAGGCAGTTATGGGAACTGATCAGTGAGTTTCGTTACTTTTCATGTACATGATCTTTTTGTATTGTTTTGCTAGTTATTTTTTCAAATCTAGCATTCTCTCGATAGAATACATAAGTGGTTTGTCCCCAAATGTCTCGGTAGACTTGTTTCTTGCTTCGAATTGGGTCACGTAACTGTTGTCACTTGAAGAAACACCAGGAACGCTGAGACAGTCTTGCCGAAACGGCTCACTGCGAATTTTGCTGACTCCTTCAGCCTGCGAGGACTGATGCAGATGATCGAGTTTAGCGTCGACATTTCCTTCGGCCATGCTTGTGCAGCGCGGGCTCGGAGTGGTATCACCCAAACGTGATTCTTGGGTGGACCGGGAAAGGGAAGGGAACGTCTTGGTGGATGGTTGAATAGACTCATGTTGAGTTTCCATATGGCGTCTAAGATCGACTTTACGTTGAAAAGCTCGCATGCAGTGCAGGCAAGAGAAAGGCTTAAATCCAGTGTGCTTACGGGAGTGCGTTATCAAGTTAGAAGATTGACTGAACGCTTTTCCACACTGTAGGCAGACGTATGGCTTTTCACCTGTTATGGTAAAAATTAAAAGAACATTGTCAGTAACCGCTAAACAACGTTTCTGATTTTCTCGGTCTCAAGGTCAAATTCTCTCTTATGCTTTTCTTGTGTAATAAAACAAAACTTTTCACGTTTTCTCAACTAGAGATAGTTATCTCAAATATGGCCTGCGTGTGTAAATTCGGTGCTATCCCCTGTCTAATATAGCATATCAAGGAATTAGTAGGCTAGCACTCTCTGAATTGTGCGTCAGTTGCCTGAAATATTTTAAATCACACAGCCGTTTCACAAGCCACTGTGTTCAAGGCTATTTGTTGATGTACGAAAACAGAGTCAATCAGCACCCCAGGATAGAAGACTACATTAGTTCGGATCACCATTCTTCGCATCGAAACAGCACCTCGAAAAAATGATTCATGGAATTAAGCCGCACGAATGCAGAACTTGATAATATCAACCCTTATTGAAATGTCCTAGCTCAGTAATTATTCTTGCCTTGACTAGTCGTCCCTTAGTCCATATGTGTACGGGATAGTACATGCATGTGAAGAAAAATAAATTTTTTGATTTTTTCACTAAGAATTGTGATCATATCTTATGATGAAACTTGCCTGTATGTGTGTACGTGTGCTTTTTCATGTCGGACTTCTGATGAAACCGCTTTCCGCAGTATTGACAAGGGTACGGTCTGGTGTCACTGTGAATGAGTAGGTGTGTGCTCAGCGTAGACGAACGCTTGAAAGTTTTCCCACATTCTCCACATTGAAAGTGTCGATCAGAGCAGTGAACACTTTCGTGCTGGCACAGACTTATTGCGTGTCCAAAAGTCTTTTGACACAGCTGGCATTCAAATGATCTTTTCCCACCGTGGGACCTGATGAGGTGAAAGAAACAATATGATATTTGGTTTACTTGAGCAAGTAGCCCCGCGGAGTTTATGTAGTCCAAACACTTTATCTTTCAGGTTTTGTTATCCAATTAATTTAGCATGGCTTTTTGTTCGCTTAATAGAGCTTGTTTATTACACAAACTTCATTGATGCATCCCTTAATTGGATACTGTTTAAAGTGTTACACGAAGACATCTTCAATGACACGCAGGTGTACCCATGAATCAGCATGCGGACCAAACTTCATCGATTGATGTTACTGCAGCAATGGCTTCTCTCGATTACTATGCTTACATTCGTGTGCCTACTAGCCATGAATGTCTATCGTCTGAAATCATCGAACTACCACCAAGGGGGATGTTGCAACAGTTGTCGAATGTTAGTGGCTCAGTGTGCGGATATTTCAAAGCGTGTCAGTCTCGTGCCGACTGAAGCTGAACACAATGAGTCCGTACTATCGTTATAGTAAACTAGTACAATGACAACATTACAACTATGCAACTGCTGATTCAAAGAACGTTGTTTGATGCAAATGGGTAAATTCTTCCAAGGCTAATGAAGAAATGGGTGGGCAGAAGTAGGGGCAAACTGAAATAATAGTGGACTGAACTTGATCAAGTTGGGCAATAAAATTCACCAAACTTTGGGGGACGGTTGCGAAGCCGACTGAACTTGTCGTAGCTGACACTGGTTATAGAATTTAGCGAATGTTAAGCGATAGATTACATCGCTCTCTATTCCGTCATAAACGGGATAGCTTTCATGGTGGAACAGGGGAAGCAGCAACCACCTCTGTTAACATATGGGATTAGCATGATTTTCAGCGCAGTCTGGCGAATGTGACGTTTTCCTGAGTGTTACCTAACTGTTTTTGATGTATAAGAACGAGGGACACATGAGAAGGAGAACAAGCTGCAGCACCCCGTGCTGCGTCGAATCAACAGAAGTAATGATAGAACAGGAAAAATGAGAAATATTTCAGTAAAAGAAAACGGTTGCACCCGGTGAAAAGTAGAATGAAGTTATTACAAATGGGTTGGATTATGTACTCTCCAGGATTTTGGCAAGTCTACATTGATTACTTCATGAATGTGCACTCGGATAGAATCGTTGTACCTTTATCCGGCATTAGACGCGCTCGCATTCACTGCGTACCTGTTCGCATATATCCACACAGTACCAGAGTTTTCGGAAGGGCAACACCCGATTTCTATTTGCTTCAGCTATGGTCCTCGTGCTCGAAAGAACAAAGGGGCACTTCAGTGGGAATTGCGGTCACCACTGAGATTCCGCATCGCAAGCCATCCACACAACGTATACTTCGAACTGACCCTCAACACCCAATTTCCATTTGGACCCTCAACCTCGTTCATTAAACCGTTGTGCCAAGCGTTGCCCGTCGTGGCCCGATGGCTTAGGGATAGCGCTCACAACTAACATCCCAATGGTTCCGGTTTCAATGCCTGCTAACTATCCGTTGCGAGGTAATAACATCGAGAAGTGTCATAGTGGTGCAGTGTTTTCGGGCGGGCAAACCCTATTTCGATTTGCACACAATTGTACTTTATAAGAGTTGCGACAAAGCCAGAAACACTCATTTTCAAGTGTCTGATGACGCATTCATCATCATTATCAAATGTAAGTTAGTTGAGTGAGAAACACACCTCAGCTAGTGTGCCGCACTGATGATCCATTGGTAGATTAGGAATGTCGTGACTGCTCTTGGTCCCGCTATAGAGCCGTCAAATACGGGACATCACTTCTGTCCGTTCGCTACTATCCTACAGTGCGGTATTTATTACGTGGTATTGTAGTGAATCCACTACGAAACAGCGGAAAGTGACTGGAGTTTGTAATTTACAGCTTGCCATGTACACCTTTTATTCACCATTACCATTACCATTCACCATTATTCACCAGGACAACATCCAGTTGTTTTAATCATGCTCAAAATTTTACTTGGTAATTGCCTGTCAATCAGTGAAGTCCATTTAAAAAAGCCGGGTAAATGTATTCTCATTTCATCCCATAGGGGAGCTGTACGCTATCGGGTGCGTCCCCAGGTTGCGGATCGCGGAATGCCTTCCTTGTGGAGGTATCTACGGATAAGTCTTGTTCGCTTTGCAGACGAGATGAATAAGCAGTCGCGCACTATCAGCGGCAGCGTCTCAGATCGTGGGGAGTTCTGGGCTGGTCACCTGGTTCTACATCAAGTACCAAAAGAGTTCGTACGACGCTGTGTCAAAGCCAATGTGACCGGTTATATGGTCACTGACCACTCACTTCTGTAACCAGAGGTGAGTATATAACGGAGAGCGGATGAACAACCTTGGTGGGCAACGGCTTCTCTGTGGACTGCTACTGAACACAAAGAAGGCGTAGGAGCTACCCGGATGTCAGCGGTCTCCGTTAAGCGTCCCGCTTCCTTGCGGGCCAGGTCTTTATGTTCAAATGCTCGGGGTGGGGTTACTTAAGTCAAGCCTCATCCTCTGCCTAGGCAACCGGGGAGATTTCTGACAGCACAACACATTAACCTTGTAAACCTTCCAAAACTTTCAATGTCTATCTGTTTTCCCTTTTTATTATTATTGTTGTTAACTATGTGTTGTGGCACTGTCAATGGTATATTGGTCAGGTGTTGAATAATTGTAATACTAATACTAATAATACTAACATAATAATAATAATTCCCATTTCAATGCATTCCAAGATTTTGCGATTGTGTCCGGATGTCGGCAACCAGCCCAACTATGACTACATAATGAAGTTATTTATTGCCAGATTATTGATACCGCAAGTGAGCGGAATTTCACTTCAGCCTCAGTGATCACATCCATACATCACACCCATAAATTTCCATTGAATCGTAATCGATCCCGAGCGGCCGCTTCTGTGCTTGCAGAGGCAGTTGACAGTAACACTGAGCCTGCTCTGGTAGGGCCGCAGTAATTGTTGGCCATCAGCTGACCACCAATCCACCGCATCTGACCTTGATTCTTTTCAAATTGTTAGTTGCCTTGTACTGACTGAGGAGATAGGCACGAAATAACGGGGTCATCTCACAGCTTACGTAGTCTGATACTTCTGGCTAGTTCAAGTTCAGATGGGAAATCCTTGTTTCATCTTTTCAAAGGATCAATTGTTCACTTATGACCAATGACATGGTGAACATACGCAACAACCTACCTCCTTAAATGCACTTCTAATCCATGAGGGGTGACAAAACGTTTTCGGCAGTCGTCGCATTTGAATATAGTACCCAACTCCGTGGTCTTTTCCACACCGGTGACTTCGCCATCTTCCAATGAACTGGTGTTAGAGCTCGATGAACTGCGTAAATATGTGTGGTCACCAACGGGACTGACGTGATTCGACATCCTTTGTCGGTCTGTGTTGGGGCCCCAAGAACTAAGCCACGAAAAGGGCTCTGAGTTGGTGGGAATGCGTTCAGGAAAAGGATTAGTTGGAAGACCAAGATTCCGGGCTGATGCTCGGAAGCATTCTAACGCCGCTATCACGTATCCGGGGTCCAGGCTGGGCGTGCTGGACTTCCAGGGACCTGCAGTCGCAAGACTGGATGAAAGTGTCACATCATCCGCATTGGATATGTAATTAGAGCCCAACTGGTGGTACTCGTTGATTCCATTTAAGTTCCACGGGTTAACAAAATTCGTATTGGTACTACTGGTAGACCTGATTGGATGTGACGATTCAGCTGTTGTCCGCATGCACGAGTTGTAGAGGCGAATGGATGGATCACAAGTGATGTTGGATACTGGGTTGGTACTCTGACTTTGAGACATATTTCCCATTGCATTTATCGCTGTGGTTTGAAAACCTAACATAGACGCGAACAGCTGTAAGGGGAGGCCATTGGGAGGTTCTTTGCTCTCGCGTGGCACCTGACTTGCACGCTGAATGGTCCGTTTACGCTTGATTCGAGTGGGGCGTTCGGTTGATGCTGTAACACTTGTGCGTTTTGGGATACGCATATCGCTTGGCACTGCTTGAGGGGAATAAATTTCACAGAGAACGTTTGCAAGGTACAGCTCAATGACAAGTACAGAATTTTAGTCACAAGTACATGCTATCTGGATATAAATGGTTGCAAAATGAAGCTACTTGCATTCTCACGAAAGAAATACCGTTACCGCTGATTTATTAGTCCTTAACAGATAATTATATCTCGTCATATGTACACGAGTATTTCCTGCGGACTTTCTGTGAGCAAAAGCAGATATCTTCACTTTCCAAGGGTATCTACTACTAGTTTGTGAACCAAACACTTTTTCAGAAAACTGAAGGTTACATGGAGCAACAAGCATCGCACAATAGTGTCTCCTGCTGCATAGCCAAAGATACTACACGGTTTGTCACTAATCTACCCTAAAAGGAGCATTACCAAAATACGCTTGCGTATCAGCTCCTGATCATTTAACTAACCTGTGTCAGGTTGAGGTCGCATTTGCGTGAGCTCATTGCTTTGGTCCTGTTCGATGCCGATGAGAGTGGACATCAAATGTTTTCGGCGGTCTTTCTGACCCGACATGACTGTTGAAGTGTGAGAAGGAATGGTTGTAGAGCAATTCACTCTGGGCTGGGGAGCATCAGAAGTGTGATAACAATCATTTTGGGAACCAACTGATCCAAACTTGAGCCACTTGTCCATTTGGAGGAAAGCGTAATGGTTTGCCAATAGCGGAGTTGTAGGAGTACTGTCAGGATGGTGCGTATGATATGCGTTAAAGACATCAGGGTGGGAAAAGTTGCTACCTTTTGTCTTGGTCAGGGACGCAAACGGATTGGACGGCTGCCCTGTGGGAAATACTGCACAGCCACTTGTAAAGTACATGGAATTTAAGGCTGAAAGGTAATGAGAAAGAGTGTCAGGGCTACAGTCGATTCAAGCTACTGAATCTAGAGGGAAAGGGCATCAAATAAAACGCAGTTACATATGGATCGGAGTACTAAATTGTGTATGCCACGTTTTAGTTTCTGCAGATTTGTTTGCACTGAGTTCCTGGACAGTCCAAACGGAAGTGTATACTTGCAATTCGAATTAGCTAGAAGTAATGGGTGGCATCTGAAAGAACTTCTAACTCTGGAAGACATTATTTGCGTATTCTAAATGCAATGCATGCAGCTTCACTCACCTGTGTGTCGCAAAGTAGAACATGAATGGCATAGCCACCGTTCGTTTTCTTTCATTACCGGAGTCGGGATGTTTATTCCTGCAAGCAACTAAGGCCAAAGAACTTGCGCTGTCATCACTTGGCTAACACCTGTGTGAGCACAGCTGTGTGGAGTTCCAGACTCGGACATTATCGCACATATTCTGCCATTATCAGACTGTTCATCATGCACCAGTTCACTCCGTAATCATCAGACAACGCGGAAAGACCAGTTGATAACGCACGGTTGGTTGAATTATGTTGCGGTTCCCGTTTAGAAAAAGCAGAGCCGGAACCCTTATGTTTCTACAAAGCTGTCGATTTCATTACCAATATGTGAAATTGTTTATTTCACATCCTGTTCTGGAGTAATAATTGCCCATTACAAGCATGCATTTAATGTTTCCTCCACTCTAAAGCCATTTAACTGAACCAGGGTACAACGCTTTTGTACACAGTTGGTCCCAAATGAACTAGGTCAGTCTCAGTGCCCAATTGGGTATGGACACCTCCCTTGGGACGGACGGAGAGAATTCACTGTTAAACACGCTCACTTTGCTGCATTCCCAGTTGACCTTCTGCTTGTTCTAGGCACAAAAACGGTCCATTCGGTCGTATTCTTCACAATCTCGAATCTGAGGAGCAGAAAATATCGATGACATGATATTCCGGAAATAATGATTTCATTTGCCTAATCATCTAGTCGGCGAAAACAAACAAGTTCGGATTATCAGCGCATGTTATCGTAGAGCTATATTCCACTTTGCAAGGGTACGCCCTTGCCATGGCTTCAGAACATTTCAAAAGTGGTACATCCGTTCTTTTATTGCTCAGGGTTATTTTGTTACAAAAGCCCACAAGCACAACGAATTATGTGGTGGAGGCAAAATCTAAACTTGGTGTGTTGCCTGAGTCTGAACAGGAGTCGACACCCCCATGTCCCTATACCCCCGTTTGAAACTTGCAAAACATTTGAGTCGATGCTAAGTAGCGTCTCAATGTCTGCGTGCAGTCTGCCCTGCAACGAGAAGAATGCGGCTTCGATGTCCATTTGGCCATCCAAACAATCCAGTTTCCTGATAGCCAATTTTCGAGTTGAGTGCTTCTGAACGTATGGTAAGAATTTTCACACTGTACCCACCAACGATTTAGCGCTGGGTTATGACAGTTACTTTGTGCCCTGTCCGATAGTTCTCTTCCTCCACTAACAAGTGGGTTGACAAACTACTGAACACTTCCATGAACTGTCTCGACGGATCAAGTTGGGACATGCGTGACGGCGTCGTATGTCTTTGGTCGCAGGCAGTGATCAGCAATACGGCGGTAGATATCAGAAAAAATATTGGGCCACAGGCAACGGAAACTAAGGGGTTTCCATATCAACCAGCACGCTGACCTAAAGAGTATATTTTTGAGTACAGTACAGTGCTTCCGTCTGCATTAACTGCATGGTGGATAGCAGACGTTACATGATAGGTTTGTTTCTGAGCTAAAACTGTCAGGAGATTTATACGGCTATGGATGTTTGCTTAAAAGGCTTATAACACGGAAGCATTGAGTAACGGAGTGTATCATGCATGAACTCAGAAAGAGGTTGGATTAAGCAGGTCGAACTTCAAACAATTTGTGGCATAAATTCCCATAAACCAGGACAAACACCGGAATTAAAGGATAATGGAGGTTACCAAACAGCGAATGCGTTAAGTCCGCGTCAATAAAAGTTTCCAAGTAGTCATCTGGTTCGACGGGAATGGTCTGTCAGTCCCCTCTCGTCGGTTGAAAAATACAGGCTCGCTTCAAATAGTGATCAAGCCAAGTACACATGAAAGCATAAGCGGTAGTAAGTTTGGCCTTTGAAACTCATAAACTCGTCACTAAGTTGCCTAGTATTGTTGAAGCACAAATCACCAGCGGGTTTTATTTCGGTTTGTTATGTGTGATGCAAAGTCCAATGTGATTAGTTGCGAACATTTTTATTAGTATAGTGAGTGGTTAACAATAGTGGTCTACTGTGTGGATTCACTGTGATAATTGCGCAGACAACGTTGTCATTGGATGGCGAAAGGAATGACTTTCAGAAGGTACGGTCCCCGCCAGTATTACCGGCCTTATAAAAGGTGACATAGGTTAACACGTAAAATAAACGCAACTTTCAAATCAACCTACAAGTGATATCTTACCTCTTAGAAGTCATGGTGCTCGGGCTGCCATCCAACTAAAACTCTAGCATAATGTGAATTTATTACCTCAAGTTCAGAAAGAGAAACAAAACACGAAGCTTTAAGCCAACAATCGTTTTCAATTAATCCCTGTTTCTTTTCAAAGTCCAATATGGAAACCATATTGTACGGGACAATACATGAACTTTCACAGCTCCGCCCCACTCAGCCAAAAACGAACGCTGGTGCGAACACTAACCGATAGGGCACCTAAAATCTGCGGCGAAGACACCATAAAAGCCAAACTCGTAGGAATCAAAGAAACGCTTCTCGAACATGGATATCCGGAACGATTTATCGAGACTCAAATGAGGCGACGCATACCAAAATTATTGAAACAAACCATTGAAAAGAAACAGGTTTACATTACTCTTCCATCCAAAGGAAATTACGCGTCTGAGGTATGCACGCGTCGACTACAACAAAGCTGCAAAAAGACCTTTAATGCGGCTCAACTGAATGTGGTTTTCACGAGCTGACCTCTTATAGTTCCGAGATGCAAAGACCGAGTGCCTGATCATCTCCAACCAATGTTAATCTACCGGCTCACGTGCCCGTGTGGGGCCAAGTACATTGGACGGACGACCAGGCATTCACGTAAGAGAATTAAGGAACACCTCCCAGGTTGGCTGTACAATTGCGAGAACAGGACAAACTACAGTGCGATTACGAAGCATCTACTCAACATAGGCCACCAGATAAACAAAAACACTCTTTCAGATTCTCTACAGAATACCACCAAGGCAGAACTGTCTTGTAAAATCAAGTCTACTTGCCACCGCTGAGGCAGTATGCATACGCCTGACAAACCCGGACTTGTGTGTCCAGAAGAAGATGATACAAACACTACAACTTCCATGGCCGACCACCAGACGCGAAGGAAGTGATGGCACTCCGCAACTCAACCTGAATTCCGTCATATGATAAGATGACTGCCATCATGAGCACAAGTTAAATTTTCTGATCAATTGTTTCTTTTTTATGCTGACGATTGCAACAAACCTTACCCTAATGTATATTATTATATGAGCCTGACGAGGAATTAACTGAAAACGATTGTTAGCTTAAAGCTTCGTGTTTTGTTTCCCCAACTAAGATTGATTTGTTGTAGGTCGGTGAGGCAATGTATTTGAGTGCGACTTTTCCTCGCAGACAGATAATGTTAAGCGTTTACTAGGCAGGTCAAGACAAGTCAAGTCAAAGTCGACTTTATGCACCCGGATAGGTGCATTTTCAGTATGAACGGACAATTTGAAGGCATCGCCAGATGACTTGTAGAGTTTTCATACATACACCCTGCCATTAAACGGTTTTAAAATCTAGCTACTCTCCTCTTGTCTCAAAAATCGAGTGAAACTGTGTTAGTCTATGTCAGCACCTAAAGTTTCAAGTGTGTTTAAGGAATAATTCCATAAGCGCAAGTGGCTAGTATGCAGCCTCTTTACTAACATTCCACCATTCAGACGTATTTCAATCAAGCCAGTCAACCGAATACCCATATAAGTTATCAACGTCGGACAGCCGGTGGCAAACCAGGTATACCATAAGATTGGTTAACTCACACTGCAGAACTCTAAATTATTTCCTTATTACATGCATATAAATAATTTTTGAGAACTCTGCGGGTTGAAATATTGTTCGGTTTGAGAAACATGACTTACCGGCTTCCTGCATTGCCCTGTGCTAATTTCGGCTTGCTATTAAGTCCTCGTTAATTCAGAGCTCGTATATAGTATGAGACGTGCTACGTACTCCGAAGTAGATTAGTGAAACTGTGCAGAGCTTGGACTCAAAGCAGGTGCGACCGAGTTGCAATATATGGCTTTCTTATTCTCTTCCTCGTTCACTTCACTTCAAGCCTTCTTCATCTGAGCACTCAACTAAACCAGTGTGCGCCTCCATGGTCAGCCAACCCGAAACGTCGCTGTCCCTAGTTCTCATTGCCTTGTTCCTCCCCAGGTTGTGAATCGCAGCTAGTCGATGTTACGGTCCGTGGAACACCACCTGTGGATGCAAATGTAGATTTGAGCTCACCGCCGATTTGAAGCCATGTGATTCGCGGTTTGTGAAACCGTACCCTCTCATCTTCATTTACACCCCTGTGCCAAACCGCACAATCCTTACCCCTGCTCTTTCTACCCCTGCTTAATACGATGAGGGAGGATATAATTTGTTGTTCGGCTCACGGAATCGGAATCTCTGCCCCTACAACTGAACTCATACCATAGATGCATACACACCGTCCAGCAAGCTGAGAACACTCCGAAAGCCGAAGCATCTGGAAACTTTTCCGGTGGCTGTCTGTGTTTGTGCGTCCGTGTGCGATATGATTGCGCGCGCATCCCATGGACACGGGCTCCTCAGCCTCCCACTACGGACGCGGATGTAAATGACGGAACGCTAAACCAGAGCAACCCGAGAATGTGCGTCGATGTTACCCATCCCGTTGAGCTGAAGATTGATTAGTAGTCAG